ATCACACCCCCAGCCTCAACACGACAGACCCACTACATGATCTTGTCCCTTGCCCCCCTCCCGGCGGCTCGGGTAAAATCTTCTCCGTCTTAGAGCTGGAGTATCAAGAAAATCCCGACCGTTGGCAGGGGGGGCCTCCTGGATCAACTCAGACCGTCTCCATAAGTCTTTCGTGTCAGCTCTCGTCTCATACAGTCCGGTCTTTAACTGGCAAAGTCCGCTTCCTGTCTTCCTTCTCCGTCTCTTGGCCCGGATTTTCAGTTTTGTATCGCAATAGTCGGCTTTTTGCTCTTTTCTGTCGGCCCACCGAGCGTGAGGTTGAGGTTCAATTATTTCACGTCCGCCATCGAAAGAAGAAGCGAAGGAAAAAAAGGCCAAGGAAGAAAAAGCGGACCGCTTTTCCTGTTTGGGCGTGCCAAGGTATCGCCTGTTTCCAACGCCAGCAGCAGGACAAAAACGATAGTCCAAAAAAAAAAAAAAAAAAAAAAAAAAAAAAGGGCGAGGGCGACGGGCCTTCTCTGTGAGCGCTCTGTAGAAGAAGACGGTGCTGCGTAGAAAAAAAGACGAAACAGTGCTTGCGATGGGAAGAGACTCAAAAGAGGAAAAATCGGGGATGCAACGCAGGACAGCGCAGAAACGCAGGGCTGGCTCCGGGGGCTGAGTTGACTTTTGCTGGCCAGGAACAGCGAACCGCCAACCAGCAACACGCCCTTTTATGTTACGACGACATCGACTCTCCTTGCGAGCAGGCCGAACACTCGTTCTGCTGCTCGTCTGCTGCCTGTCTGCTGGTCGTTTGCAGATGCCACTACAGAGTACGTCTTGCTCGCCTTTTTCTACTGGCTGATCTTCATCTTTTATCACGTCTGGATCTTCAACAGGAAAAAAGGGGCAGTACTGCCGTTTGCGTAATACAGTTACATACGCCGCCTTGCACAAGGAGGGGGAAGTGGCTTGACGCCCGTAACGCCATTACTTACCATACGACTAATACGCGAATACGAGGCTCTGCTGCTATTTATAGGATACAAGACCAGGACTATGAAAGGATGGAAGAGCATAGCCATATATATATAACTAGCTAGAGGAAAGGTAAAGCGCTGATGAAGATGGCCAGATAGAACACCCAGCAGAAGCACCGTCTATAGGTAGATACAACAAAGGTGAAAAGAAAGGATGCGGGAGCAACAGACACACGACCCCGAGATTATAAGCGAAAGATATGTGAATATATATATATGTATAATGTTAGCAGAATATAGACAAATTAGACATCAGAAAGGAGGCAAAAAGGTAGGACGACATGTGAGGCGACAGGTCAGGTACGCATCTCCCACTGGGGCTTAAGGTTGGAGCTAAAGTCATCTCGTGTACCGACTGTTTCGGCTGGCAAACGACTGACGCGGTAGGCGCCCGAGCGGATGTTGTGAGCCTGCAGAGCAGATATGCCGGTGCGGTTGCTGCGGATACTGCCTGCGTCACTGCCAGTGCCAGATTCGTTCTTGAAGCGAGGCGGTGGTGCAAAGTCGAGGGCAGTGTACGTGCCGGACTTGCGGAGGGCATGACTGTGACGCTGATTGTTAGAACCAACCCTAACCCTAAACTCTAACGAGACCAAATATTCAACGTGATTAGTTAAAGAAAGGGGACAACTTACGGGCTGGGGACGGAGGGAAGTTCGTCAAAGGATGAGACAAGAGGACTATGCGAGGGGACCATGAGGTTGTAATGTTGCAAGCCGCCCAGGGGGGTCTCCGGTCGACCGGCCTGGCGGTCTCGAGCCCGAGGACCTGGTGCGAAGTCGATAGGCAGGAAGGTGTCGTCCTTGAGTTTATGCGGAGTAGGCAGGATGTGCAAGGGTGAAGGTGGCGGAAGAGGCTTTTTTTGCCGTGGATGAGCAATGCGACCTGAAGCAGAGGAGAAGGCCCGTGGGCCGCCCATGGGGTGACCACCACTGGCCAGGGAATTTGTAGCACTGTGGGCGAATCCCCTGTTCATACCACCCATGCCAGGTGGCGGCTGATGGCCTACCCCTGGGTGACGGCGTGGAGGGAAGGCAGGAGGCATCCTTGGGGGAGGAGTCATGGCTCGACGAGGCAGAGGCTGGGCAAAGGGTGCAGCTGGGTTGGGAAGTGGAGGCACATCGCCGTAGTCCTCGATGTAGTCCTGCTGGAAGGGTTTGCTCTCGTCGAAGTATTCTTTGTAGAACGATCGGATACGGTTTGCTCGCTGCTCGGGGTTGTCTGATGGGTCCTCAGGCGGCAGTGGCCGGATCCCCATGGTTAGTCTGCGGGTATCAATGAGGTGGTTGGAGTCGTAGTACTGGTCATAAACGTCGTGGATGCTGTCCGTCCCATCATCCCCTTCTTCTGGATATCCGTGTCCATATTCGTCACCATGTAGTTGCTGCTGCTGCAGCTCCTGGGCAGGCATGATGTTAAACTGTGGCAGACCTGAAGCGGGCTTGCTTTCGTCACCGTAGTCGCTATCAGCATCACCCTGTTGACGTCCAGTTACAGCAGTAGCAGCAGGTGTGGAAGAGGGCCCCAAGTTGAAATCCAATTTTGGTCCATCATTAGTCGAAAAGGCCAGGCCCGGGAGAGAAGGATGACCGTCCTGCTGGTTGGAAACACTGTCTTGTTTTTTCTGGTCGTCTGGAGTCGATGATCTGCTACCACTGTGGATGAATTGACCCAGGTAATTGTGGCTACTTCGCAGGGCCGGGTCTTTGCTCTTCGCAGCACCCATCTGATTATCGTCGCCGGTGTTGCTGCAGGTACCGCTGTTGTTATTGTCGTTGTTGTTTGTGATTTCCTTGAGGTTGTTATTGTTGTTGTTGTTATTGCTTATAGACGAGGGAAGACCCAGTTCGTCAAAACGATTGTCAAAGGGCAGATGAGCTGGCTGTGGTGGGCTTGGGGATTCAGCCGGGACGGCAGCTAAAGGGGGTGAAGTGGACATGCGTTGCGCGTTCCGAAGCAGATTCTGAGACATGTCGTCGCCTAGACCGCCATTGTGGTGATGGTGACCGTCAGCACCGCCTACACGCCGACTGCTTCCGGCCGTATAGCTAGAGGCATCATCTGCGTTGTTATGTCGACGGGTAGGGGTATTTGATCTGATACTGCCATTGCCATCAAAGGCTATCCCGTACTTATCCTCGCCCGGAATTGTTCGAGAAAGAGAGTGCAGCGAGCCACGGGATTTTTGCAGTCCTGGCGGCAGGAAATAGGGGCTGTCCATGGCCCAATCCATGGACATACCGGGCTTGTGGCCTTCACCGTTCTTTTCGACGCCCTGACCGCCCCCTGTCCGGACTTTGGCTCCGTTGTTAGACGCAGGAACATCATCAAGGCCATAGTCGAGGGCCTTGATTTTGTCCTGCTCGTCTTCCTTCCGCAGTTTCTTGACATGGCGTCTATGGAGAAGGAAGAAGACTATGAAAGCACAAACAAGGGGGATCCTATAGCCTTGTTATTAGTACTAATCATGACTTCCTAGATAGGTTCTAGACATACACAACACCAAGAGCAATGGCCACTGTAGGCGTCTCAGTTAGTCCTGGGCCGCAATCCTTCCCCGCATTGTTATCAGGACTACAGGTCGCATCTCGGCGTGGGACAAGGCGTGTGGTGTCAGGTGTGTCTCTCCGCTCCAGCGGCCGTGCCATCGGCTCTGCCGCGGCCGGTTCTTCGACTCTGGTGAGGAGAGCAATCCGGTGGTTTGGGATCGGGGCCGAACGAACGATGAGAGCAGGAACAGGGACATCGCCCCCTTGGGGCCCCCGGGGACGATGATGGAGGTTGTAGCTGTGGTGGTGGTTATGCATCGCAAAATAGCCGTCGTAGTAATCCAGGTCGTGGTGGTTCAAGTCATGAAAGGTACAGAAGAGTCGCACCACAAGACAGCAACACAGGGTAAAATGGACGAGTCGTAAATCTAGCAGCCCGTTACGCCAAACCAGAGAGCCGCAATATATTGAGTGAGTGTTAAAGATGTCGCGATATTTCTTTATCCTGTGTAAACGACAGATGGGTGACAAAAAAAAAATAAAAACGAAGGTTAGAGAAGGGTCCTCCGGCACAGCCCTGGAGAAGTAAACAGAGCAGGAGTCGGCAGCGAGCGTGGCGCCTCAGGCCATCAAAGGAGCGTAACGACCTGTCAGTAGGTCAAGCTGGACGGCGGAGACGGTGAAGACGTCGAGAGATGAAGTCGAACTCGATGTCGGGGGATGAGAAGACGAGCGGCGGAAGAAAAGGCGTGAAGTCGAGAAAAGGACGAAGGGAGGAAAAGGGAGAAGCCGCCCCTGCCCGGCCGCTGATTGGCTGGTGCCTGGATAGCACTAAAAAAAGAAAAAAGCGGCGCCTGCGACAAGCCTGAAATCTCGCATGAAGGAAGAACAGGCCGACGGGCCAGATAGCGCTGGGCGAACGGGGAAGATACTATAGCCCGGGTATACATGCATGCCAGTTCACATTTCGCCCTGGCTCGTTTACCTGTCAAAAGTTCGAACGTCTTTTGCTTGTCTTCCTTTTCGTGGCTTACAAGGCGAATATTTTCTGTGATCTTCAATGTCGCATTTTCTTCCTTTTTATTCATTTCCTTTTCCTTGATTCGCTGCAAAAAAAAAAACAAAAACTTGGATTTACTTTTGTTTTAGGTTTAAACCTTCTTCTCGCCTTAGGTAATTTACCACGTGATATATCATTAAGTAAGCTATAGATTTGTTCATTAGTACCTAATCCGCTCTGTGCGACGGGACTATCGAATCTATCGAATCTCTATCGAGTCGAGCCATAGGTTGCGTCGTCCTGGGCGCTTCTGGCCCCCTTCTGTCCGGCGCAGCTAACTACGTAATCATCATCTCGCCAGAGAGCGCAGGCTATAACCGTATCTACGGAAGTGTAAGTACGGAGATGCTAAGTACATGGATATTATTCCTATACCACAGAGGCTAAGCTGCAGGATGCGATGGAAGGACTCAGGTACCAAACCCACCAACGACCCGTTGGAAAAGTGCTTGTTCTGCCCCTGATCCCACTGGCTTAGGTAAGCAGTAGGATCAAAGCAGCTGACGGTGGACTAACCCGATGCAGACTAGTCAGAGTCATCCATTATCCTCAATCCACGTGACTCTCACAAGAAAAAGGGTCGCGTGGATGCAGGGAGAAAAGGCGAAGAAGCTGAGCAGTTGATATAAAGGGGGCTGCAGAGAACATCATTCCAATATCCCAGTGCCATGTAAGGAGCTACCTCACTGTGTATATAAGCACTACCTGCCGAATATTTTTTTGACGTTGAAGTTGAGAGCCGCGAGCAAAGGTGGAGGAGGAGGTTAAGCTAGAGCCGATGGCGAGCGCTGCGGAAGATACCCTTGATGCCACAGCACCATTGCTCGAAGGCCCACGCCATGACAATACCAGTCCCTCAGGCCCGGGAAACGAACCTAGTACAGCCGTTCGTGCTGACTCGGCTGCTATAAGCACAGCGACCTGGTTTATTTGGGCCTTGACCTTCACCGCCGGGATCAGCGGCTTCTTGTTCGGATATGAGTATGTCCAAGCATGTATGAAAGTACTACTATACCACAAAGATTATAATCTTACTATTTATACTCGAATCCCATAGTACCGGAGTTATATCGTCAACCCTAGTATCGATCGGAACAGATCTCTCTCAGCGCGAGTTAACCATCCTTGACAGGAGTTTGATCACATCTTCGACCAGCCTCTTTGCGCTTATAGCCAGCCCCCTAGGAGGTGTACTGGGCGATACAGTTGGCCGCAAGCCTGCAATAGTCATCTCCGGTGTCTTATTCATTATCGGGTCTCTATGGCAGGGCATCACTTCCACCGTTTGGGGGATGATATCCGGCCGGAGTTTGGTAGGACTGGCCATAGGCATGTCAAGTTTGATAACACCACTGTAACCTCCACTACTATCCCCCCTACTTTTGAATAATGTCAAATACTTACTTTAGTCCTCCCAGGTATATCTCTGAGCTCTCTCCGTCACACCTACGTGGCAGGATGGTGACTGTACTTAGTCTCCTCGTCACTGGAGGGCAGGTGATAGCTTACATCGTAGGGTGGCTCTTGTCCAGCCAGCCCGGAGGCTGGAGATGGATGGTTGGTCTTGGTTCTTCACCTGGTATCATACAACTTTTGGTACTTGCTTTTCTCCCCGAGACTCCAAGATGGCTTGTCCGCGCCAACCGGGCGAATGAAGCCCGCCAAATCATGCGAAGAGTCTACGGTGATACCACGCAGAGTAACCAGATCGTTGAACATATTCTTGGAGACATCCAGCTGGAAGTACTACATGCCTCGGCTGAGATAGACGCTCAGCCAGGTAACCCTGCTGGAGCCAGTCCTGCGTCCACCACGCCAGGGTTGTGGTTGCAGAAAGTACGAAGAACATACACCGAGCTCTTCACTATCGGCTGCCACCGCCGTGCACTCATCATAGCATGTACACTCCAGGGCCTCCAGCAGCTCTGCGGCTTCAATTCACTCATGTACTTCGCGGCAACGATATTCAAGTCTCTCTCCTTCTCCTCGCCAACCCTCACATCTCTCTCTGTCGCAGGAACAAATTTCGTCTTCACATTTCTCGCCTATGCTCTCATTGACCGTATCGGCCGTCGTCGTATACTGCTATACTCTATCCCAGTCATGGTAGTGTCACTCGTTATCTGCGCCATTGCATTTCCATCGACATCTCTCGGTGAGGGGGGCGCCTCCGGAACGCCAGCTCCAAAAAACTCCCAGGCCGCCATCATACTGCTCTGTCTTACGACATACACTGCATCTTATGCTTCCGGATTAGGCAATGTGCCATGGCAGCAGTCGGAGCTTTTCCCACTTAGCGTGCGAAGCCTTGGCTCTGCCCTAGCAACGGGTACAAACTGGGGATCTAACTTCATCATTGGCTTGACTTTCCTACCTATGATGCGGTGGATGGGAGCTGGATGGACTTTTTTCCTATATGCCCTTATCTGTGCCATCGGATGGGTGGGCATATGGAGGATTTATCCCGAAATGACAGGGTTGGGTCTCGAGGGTGTCAGAGGCTTGCTTGACCAAGGCTGGGGTGTAGAGGAGAGTTGGCGGATATTTGTAGCGAGGAGTAAATATTCTATTGATACATAAGTCACCCTTTGTTGGCATTGATAGTTAAGCATGGTTCACCTATCGTTTCCCCACTACATGCAGCGCTTTGTATTGGACTGGAGCCGAAACACAAACACATATATATATACAGTCGAGCTGGCATGCTGAAGAACAGAATGTACCTAAATCATGACAGGGTATATCGCAATCCAATCCAAAAGCAAACCAAAAAGGAGAAGGGTATAATTGCACATTAAACAAAAATCAAGACCAGCATTACGGAATCGAATACCTACATATCTCGCTCCATTTCCTGCTCGAGTGTAAATTTGGGTCCGAATTTACTCTTCGCACGGATACGATGACCGTAGAAGTAAAATACCACCGGGATCGGGCAGAGAACTGCAGAAAAGCAGCCCAACAGCGTCCCTGCCCAGTTTATTCCAAGACCTTTAAACTACAGATATTATTAGACATGCATGGCAACAGGAGAAACGTGTGGTAACAAAACTCACCATATATGAAGCAAACAGCGGGAAGACAGCTCCGGCAAGCGATCGAAGAAGAGTGTTTGCTGCAATGGCAGATGCGGCACTAGACACAGATTAGCCGAGATGACAAGTGCAAAGTATTCTCTATGGAGACGTACAATAATAGATAGGCATCGATAATATAATTGAGACTTTGCAAGAAAATAACCAGCAGCCCAAATCCGGTAAATACGCCTGAAGCAGTGGGAACCATCCAATGTATATCAGCTTTATACCCGGTCCATCCAAACCAGAAGAGACCAACAGAGAATGACACTCCACCTGCCATAACATGTGGCAATCTCCATTCAGGAACAGTCACCCCGCCGTTGGCTTCTAGTTTGCGTATATACCATGGCTGGGAGAGGATGATGGATGCACCTCCAATGAGCTGACCAATAATCATCCCAAAGTAAGGTAAGCCTCCAACACCTTTGTTGAATCCGTGAATCTGCTGGAAGACAATTGGGTAGGCAGTGAGGAACAGATAGAGCAGTCCATAGATGAAGGCCAAGTAGATGCTGAGAAGGAGGACAATTGGTTCAGTGAATAGAATCTTAAGCGGACGAGAGAAATTCTTCTCGACAAGCTCGCCAAACTCGACTTCGATTTCCTCCTGTTTGGCGTGGATGCCCCAGTTCTTAGTCAGGCGGCGGAGTTCAGCAGCCTTTTCGATGAGGACTACAGGCGGATAGGTTTCTGCAAGGAAGAAGACGTTGAGAATGAGCGCAGAAGCCCCCAGGATTCCGGGCAGAAAAGCTGTCCAGCGCCAGCCCAAGTAGGAATCGACTATAAAGCCACCAATAAAGGGTGCAAGCAAAGGTCCGGTGAAGACTGTCATGGAGAAAGGGGTAATTGCAAGACCGCGCAGACGGCTGTCGAACATATCCGAGAAGACGGCAGCCACGACTGCAACAGGGCAGGCCCCGAAGAAGCCGCCAAAAAAGCGGCAGAGCATGACCGTCTGCAGGTCCTTGGCTGACGCAAGGCCGAATTGGAAGATGGTGAAGCCAACGCTGCCGAGAATTATGGGGAATCGTCTGCCACGGAGCTCGGATAGAGGAGCCCAGATGATAGGGCCTGTAGCGTAACCCAGGACGAACAGAGAGAGGCCCAGAATGCCGACTTCAGTCGAGACGCCAAAGTGGTGAGACACTTCGATAGTGGCAGTGGAGAAGATGCTGCTGGTAAAGGATGAGATAATGGTTGTCCATGCTAGTATCAGCGCAGTGAATATCCTATAGTCGTTAGTTACCCCTGATCTGATATTGCTGAGGGATATACTTACTTCCGCTTCAGGGACCAATTCTGAGGGTGTAGAGGATCATCCGGCCCATCAAACTCGACGACGTACTCTTCCTTCTCGGGAAGAGGAGGAGGATACGGCTTTCCTGCACCAAATGGAGGTAGCGGTTTATCCAGCGGGCGCGATCGGGTAGAGCCGACAGTCTCGTTATGTTGACTGCGCTGGGTGGCCATGCGACTGAGCAAGGTGGGGTGGCGCTCGAGGTCGCGAGTCGTAGCCCGGGACATGCAGGCCGAAATGTCATATCCATTGCTGCCGCTGTTGATGGCATGGACATCTGTGTGATGGGTGGCTATGGGCTCGAGGGCGGAGGAGTGGCCCGAGATGCCTGAGCTGGACATAATGGAGTGGGAGCGAGACGGCACGGGAGTCTCGTAGTCTGGCCGGACAGACGACTGGTCCGCCGCCATCTTCTCGATGTCAGACACCATGGGAGAGGACTTCGTACGGTGTTGAGGTCGAAGCTGGTGATGCGACGCTGTGATGGCCCTTGATAGCTTCTTGCCGGGGCTGTAGACCACTGATAACTATGCGACTGACTGCCAAGCAGGCAGTTCCTCGGTACTGGCAGAGCCAATTGGCAGAACAGGAATCGTCCTCGCGGGCATCTACAGCAAGATACCAGCTGGAGAGGCAGACGTGCAGAGATGAAGATTGTTCTCTGCTCGGTCTTCCGCAGTCTAGGTAACTAGTGGGGGGCTGGCAGGGTTAGTTTGCCATCCTAGGCGATACTTATCCACCGTTTGTATCGAGTGCCACGGTGCAGCCCCTTGCCGTCCCATCGTCTTCGGCCTTCTATTGCCGTCGATATTTGTGATCCTCCTCTCTGTTTGTTCGTCTGTCCGTCCGTCAGGTCTCTTATTTAGCAAGAAGTAGATCGGGAACTCGCCCGCGGTTGGCTGGTTATTCCCGAGCGAACAGCCGAGCTAGCAAGTGAGACAGGCAGTCTTAGACGAAAACTTGCATACTTTCAGGGTTTCAAGGCTGCTGATTGGTCTATCTAGTTTGGTATCATGTGACACATATAGACTACTAGATTACGTAACAAAATGACTTATTAAACAGTAATCAATATGATATTGAGACTTCCTGTAAAACTACTGAATGCCTATCGTCCTGTGTAGATACTGAATACTGTTCCTTGGCTAGGAGTGTGCCTAAACGGCGACTGAGTCCCTGGGGCTTCCACTCACGTCGTCTTGCGTCACATATTCAGCTAACAGTCGTTGAGGTCATTCGCCATCCTGTGATGAAGTATATAATATCCACCACTACATTATGCTGGCGAACCCTCCTAGCTGTCTTCCTAGCCTAACTCGCAGATTTGGCGGTCTACTGACTATTTATTGCTTCTCGATGGCCATGTCTCAAGGTAACTTTGCTCCCGAGCCAAGTGCTGAGCTCGTTGTCGAGTGAGATTCGAGGTTAACACGGCCTAATTTGACAGGTAGACCCCTGGACCGCCGACCCATCATCATTTCCGGGCCCTCAGGCATTGGCAAAGGTACATTATGCCAAAGATTAGTCTCGTCTTACCCTGATACATTTGCCTTTACAGTGTCTCATACGACACGAGGACCTCGACCTGGGGAAGTTGAGAGCATAGCCTACTTCTTTATCAATGGCGACACATTTTCTGCCCTCGCCTCACAAGACTTATTAGTTGAATACACGACCTTCAACGGTCACCATTAAGGTACTAGTAAGCAAACTATCTCAAGTTTGGCTAAGGAAGGGTTTATTGCCGTGCTTGATATTGATATACAGGGCGTCAAGAAAGTCAAGGAAACTTCGAGTATTGATGCCCGATATGTATTTATTAAACCACCTAGTATGGAATGCCTTGAAGCCCGGCTTAGGGGACGGGGTACTGAGGCAGAAGAGAATATCTAGCACCGACTTTCCAAAGCTATTACCGAACTCACCTATGCTGATATTCCCGGCTTTTTTGACTAAATTATTGTTAATGATGATTTGAACAGCGCTTATGACGAGCTTATCTAATTTGCTCATGGGATTAGCTAATCACGCAACTAAGCGCTGTACTATAGTTGGCTTGTGAAATAAAGGCTTATATTCTCCTGCAGGAAAGTTATTGACCTGGCTATCGATTGGGGTGAATGGTAAAGACATTTTATACTTGGCACTGTCAAAGATGTTTATATCCTCTTTAATGTGTATAGTAAGCCTCATATATCCCTATTTAGTGATGTCTTTCCGTCACCGATATGGTTAAATTTAAAATATTATTTTCGATTAACGAGAGGATGGATATTAGTTATATATTCGCTCTTTATACTCCTTCTCCCTCTTGAATCTCTTTGAATCCTAAAGGTCTCACAGCTCTTACTTCATATTAGCAGACAGTATCAAGCTATAAGAGCATTCTATGAACTAAGGGGGGGAGATGTGTGATCGCCTTTTTGAAGTTTGTGTGTATTGCGGAGCACGGATCGATGTTCCCTTATTGCATAGACCACGACATGCCCTATAAAAATGGGAATCTGTGCTTATCCTGCCTCCTCTGCTCGAATCCGATCAAATATAAGTTCTTGAGAACTCTGCGATCCCGATGAATAAAACTTCTTTTAGTGGAGTGGACGGTTAGCGGTAGACAATAGTCTATCTCATTGCCTGTGTATTAGTTTCATATAATAGGAGTTGAAACCTATTCATGATGCCCCTCGCTTCCTTGCTCTATAGGTGCATGGACTTTCCCGCCGCCCATACTACCTACATAGAGCAGCCTTGGGGCCGAGGAGATTCCGGAATGGATCCATGGATGGAAGTGTTAACTATTCTCATTCCTATTGTATCAACAAGAAGCAACCAGGACCTTATTTCCTACCTACCTTTATTTTAAACCCAGGCTCTGAACTGTTTATTGCTTCTCCGTAATTCCGAGTTAGAAGGCAGTGGAAGCATTTTATAACTATCCACTAGCGTGACGTCATACAGCCCCAATCTTTAATTGACTGGCCAATAACAGTCGAGAGTCTCCGATTTGCGCGGGTAGATCTCATCACGTGCATAAGTAACTATGGACGGATCTTTTCCTGTTTAGGTAATGGAAACTACACTGGATGGGCGAAGTTCATGATCGTTCATTGCACTTTGACATGGCTTGGGTATGCAACTTTTTGTTTTGGCCGCCATAAAGCGAAGATACAACTAATTTAATGAGCCTTAGCGACACCAGCTGCGTCAGCCTGGGCAATGATTCTCTTCTTGTACGCATTGACGTCTCCAGGGAATTTCTCTACGGTTCCCTTGTCGCAGACCCACAGACTGGTGCAGACATTTTGTACCATTGTAACGTCGTGGGAGACGATCAGAACACCACCCTGGAAATTGTTGAGAGCGTCGGTCAGAGCGTCCATGGCCTCGATATCGAGATGATTGGACGGTTCGTCGAGGACGAGGATGTGTGGGTTTGTCAGGGATATGCAGGCAAATGCAACACGGGACTTTTGACCTCCAGAAAGAAGTTCAAGTTTCTGAAGACCGGTCATGCCAGTAATGCCGAATCTAAAGGTAAACAAAAAAAGGTTAGCATTTAGTTTTAATGAGTGAAAGAGAGGGAGGACCCTGGTAGGCTTACGCTCCGAGATGTCGTCGGTACTCTTCCTCGGTCTTTCCGGGGTACTTTTTAGCCATGAACCCCACAGCAGAGGTGGTCATGTCTAGGGCATCAACGTGATGTTGGGCAAAGAAACCAATGCGGAGCCTTGGGTGTTGGGAGATCAGTCCACTGGAAGGCTGTAGCTGGCCGGTAAGCAGCTTCAAGACCGTGGTTTTACCAGCACCGTTAGGACCAACAATGCCAATTCGTGAATCCAGCTGGACGTCTAGGTCGACATTGCGAAGTAGGTTGTTATCCTTGGTATAGCCGAACGTGACATCCGTCATCTGGATGATTGGAGGAGAAAGCTTCTCGACATCGGGGAACTTGAATTGAACGGTATACTCGCTCTCCGGGGGCTCAAGAACCGGCATCTTTTCCAGCTTCTTGATTCTAGACTGCGCTTCAGCAGCCTTGGAGGCATTGTATCTGAATTTGTCGATGAACGCTATGAAGTGTGGAGTTACTATTTTTGTCTAATAGGGGTTAGGTATTGGGCTGGTCTACCTTGTAGATGGGCTCTTTGGGCCATTTGGTTTTCATATTCGCGCTTGGCATTCTTCTTTCGTTCTTCCTTGGTAGCGTAGAAGGAGTCTGAAGAGTGGTTAGGTTTGTGTTCACAAAAAAAAAAAAAAAAAAAAAAGAGAGAGAGAGAGAGAGAGCGATGGACGTACCGAAATTAGCACCCTTGTAGTAGTCCAGTCTTTCTGAGTGCTGGTGGATGATATCCGTAGCGACTTCATTAAGGAAGGCCCTGTCGTGAGAAACGACCAGGACGGTGCTGGGGTAAGACTGGAGATAGTTGGAGAGGAAGGTAATGGACGGCACATCCAACATGTTAGACGGTTCTACAGCAGGTCAGTATCAGCGTTGGATAGTTAAATAATGGAGAAAAGTAGAACGCACCGTCGAGGAGGAGAAGGTCAGGCTCACAGAAGAGAGCTCGAGCAAGGGCAAGTCGCATTCGCCAACCACCGGAGAAAGTCTTGGTAGCGTACTGCTGGCGTTCAGGGGAGAACCCGAGACCGGCCAGGATGCTAGCGGCACGAGGCTCAGCCTTGTCAGACTCCATCTCTGCTAGTTTGGCGTGGATATCAGAGAGAGTGATATCCAGGCCCTCTCGTTCCTGGTCAAGCCGTATGGCATCCTTGGAGGTATCTGCCATGGTAGACCGCTCTGCTTCGATGGCGGCCAGTTGAGATGATATTTTCTATTAAGTCAGCATATCGATACTTTCTTCGTATGAAAATAGTAATAAAAGGAACATACCTCCTGGTCAGCTAGGAGACGTTTGCGCCAGACGTCTGCATCGAGAACTGCTTGTAGGGCCGGGGTATCATCACCAGTAATCTGTACCAGTGGTTAGTGTTGTAAAGTAAAATTGATAGAACATATTGAGGATGGAGAGGACTAACCTCTTGCTCGACGTGGAGAATGGAAATGTGTGTGGGAATGGCAACCTCTCTCCTACTCAGGGCACGCAAGAGGGTAGACTTTCCGATACCGTTCTGGCCGACCATGCCGTAACGCCGGCCGAATGAAAGAGAGAGTGTGGTATCAGTGAGAATGCGTTTGCCGCCGATGGAGACGTCGACACCATCGACCTTGATGTCCTTACTCTTGGTCTGGGAGTCGGCACCCAGCTGCAAGGGGTTGACGGCCATGAAGAACTCCTCGTAGGACTGGGCATCGTTGGCCTGGGTGATGAGCTTGGAAGCTTCATACTCGACGTTCTTCATGATCTTGCGGTCTTGCTTGTCTCTGATCTTGCGCTCGGCCTTTTCGAGCTTCTTCTTGTCGACGCGGGACTCTACTTTGCGGGTATTGGCCGACTCGAGGTCGACGGTGACACCTGACAGGCCCAGCGTGGAGGAGATGTTGCGCTGCGACCCGACATGGATGGTCTGGTCGAGCTTCTTAGCAGCAGTCGAGGCCATCTGCCTCTTCTCTGGATCGACAGCGCTCAGGGTCGTGATGAACTTTTCCACCAGGTTGCGGACAGCCTCTTCGTTCTGGCTGCTGAAGTCCCCTGAGGCAGAGACGAGCAAGGCAGACACCGTCTCGGCAGCCTCGGACAGCGGAGAGAAGCCGCCATGTTCTTCATCTCCGGTATATGCTCTGGAGGCATGGGTGAGGTATCCCTAGGCCGAGTCAGCCGGTATTCAAGCATCCATGCATGTCTTTTTGCTGTATATCAAGTTCACGATCCTCGTCTTCCTCTGCGGCGTCTCGACTCACCACGGCGTAGTCTGATATCACATGATCGATCGATGGAATTTGGGCTCTTATTTCTGCCTCCATCTTGGTTGTTACTATTATCTCTGTCTCCTTGTCTCTTATATCCTCTCATTTACTCTCTTCTTCTTCTTCTTCTATTCTTCCTCGTCGTCATCTTCTTCTTTTGTGGCTTTTGGCGGTTAATCACGATTACATAATACAACTACTGTCTAAAAAGGACAAAATATATATAGAAAGAAAAGAAAAAAACAACGTCGAAAATTCAACGTCGAGACATCAAAAGAAAAAGAATGACAATGACAGACAGAATAGGCAGAATAAAAGAAAACAAGCCAGGTAGAAGCGAGGTAGGACTGATGGAGCTCGAGCTCGCAAGCCGTCTGCAGGCAGCTGGCACTGTCACCTTTTGTCAGGCGCAAAGAGGCCGGAGGATATGATGATGATATTCCTTTTCTCCGTACAGCGTTGACCGGTTACATGTTGGCGGTAGATAGCGGTGCATCCTGTATTCCCCCTTGCCTGCCTTGCCTGCTCTTCGGCCGCACCATCTGCATGCAGCTTGGTTCTGCATCATCTGCACCGTCTCTGCTTGTCCTGTGCCTGTGCCTGTGCCTGTGCCTGTGCCTGTGAGACTGGCAGACCGGCCTGGCTGCTGTAGAACCTGGCAGCACCAAGCTGCATCCGGGCCCTCTTCTCATCCACCTCCCCATGTACGATGGCGCATCCGGCAACGCTGTCGACCCGCCAACCAACCAACCTCCCTGCTAGGAGGTTTCTCTGCGGGCCAGGAGCCGGGTAACTCAAAATAAATAAATAAAATGCTACTCCATAAAGAGATGAGCGAGAGCGAGCGAGAGAGCGCGGCAGCAGCCAAAGAGGGAGCGAGGGCGATGGGGATGCTCTGCCACCATCATGAAACAAGGGCCCCCAATCCTGCTGCCCCCCTTAGGCAGTGTCCCGGCAGCACACGCTACGCTACGCAGGCCAGGGACCGGGATATGCGAATAAAGACGAACAGCCAGCAGCCAGCAGCCAGCAAGCATCGAGGAGGAGGAGGAGGAAGCACGTTGATGCCAGCACGACGGAGACGCCAAGTTGGCAAGCCGGGCTGTCGATTGGCTGCAGCAGGGAAGTCGCTTGCTGAGATCTGCCTTTTCGCTCTGGCGCCAAAGAAGGACGAAGAAGAAAGCTGGAAAAAAGCAACGAAAGGGGGGAGGTCGAAGCATCCCGTCTCGTCTCAGGCGGTCCTTGGTTCCTTTTTTTTTTTTTTTTTTTTTTTTGTTGATATCATCATCATCATCATCATCATCACGGACTTCCCAGAGTATCATCATCAGCATCTCGTCTAGCTGTTGTAGCTGTCCGTCTCTCTGTCTCTCGGTCTGTCTGTGTGTCCACTGTCAGCCCGTATCAACATCACCGTCGACCCCCATTCCTCTCCTACCAATATAATATCAATAATATCACATATCCCAATATCACCGCCGTATACCAGCGTCAACGCCAGACCTCCACAGCTCCTCCGTATCTGTAACCAGGCAGCCCTAAGGAGATCCACGTCTTCCAAGGCGCCGGCTAGTCAAGATCCAACTTTTTTCCCTCGCCCGCTGCTCTGCTGGTTGTCCTGGGCCTGTTTCTGCGCCCTCCCTGGCCTCGCCGTCCTCGCTGTTCGTCGTCTTCGTCTTCGTCCTGCCGTCTCTTCTTCCTGCTGCCGCTGCTCCACCAGAAACCCTCCTTGAGCCGCCGCTCATCTCGGGCTCTTCAGATCTCAGCTCGCTTGCCTGCCTTTTGCCTTCCAATCCCTCCCTTCCTCCTCCTCCTCCTCCTCCTCCTCCGTCTCGAGTCCGGCCGTTCTTCCTGATGGAGTCGTAAAGAGAGAGAGAAGGCCGGAAAGAAAAATATTAAAAAAAAAAAAAAATAAATAAAAATAGAAAAAAAAAAAAAAAAGGCCACAGAGCGAGCGCTTGAACGTCCATCCCTGCGGCCTCAAGCAAGGTTGCGCCAGCTCGTCTCGCCGTCGCTTTTCTTCCTGGCGTTTGTTATTGTTATTGTTGCTGCTGCTGCGGGTTTGTTTATTATCGTCTTCGACTGCTTCAACTTCTTTTCGACCTCGCCGTCGCTGTCGATGTCGCCGCCAGCTCCCGCTCTGCCAGCCACCACGATGACTCCGACGTAACGAGCGCTGCCGGATGCTCAGTCTCGCCCGTCGTCGCCTTCTCTTCTTCTTCTTCTTTTCTTCTTGTATTTTCTTTTCTTCTTCTTCTTCTTCTTCTTCATCTTCTTCATCGGCTCGTCTGGGCTCGTCGTGATGGAGTTTGTGCCTGCAGTGAGTCTTCCAGCCTCTTTTTTTCGCTACACCTCCATATACAACAACATCTACAGCCTACAACATCTACAACATCCACAACATCTACCACACCTACATCTGCACCTAGCCAACACCCCCCGGCTACATCTTCTCCCTGCTAACTGCTACAGTTGTGTGCGGCGGGCACAATTGGCATCGCTCCCGCTGGCCTCGCCCTGGGCCGCCCCGACGCCAGCACCGCCAACAGACGCCCCTCGACGCTGGCGTACCAGCGAGCCTCCTTCTTCGCCGGCCAGCCTGCTGAGCTCCCGCTGCCCTTGCCCTCGCCTCTCTCGCCCTTCTCGCCGCTGCCAGACTGCAAGGACACCGACGGCCAGCCGCAGAGCCTGCCCAGCTCGCGCAGCCTGCCCCTGGACGCAGGGCTCTCGACCGCCGCAAAGCTGGACGCCCTCATCCAGCGCACCGACGAGAAGATCCTCCTGCGGCCGCGGCGGGAGAACGACCAGACCGTCCTGGCCCGCGATGTCGAGATCGAGCCCGCGCAGCTGCCTGGCTCCCTCGATCCCTCCTCTGCTGCGGCTGCGGCGACGGCGAGGCCCTCCTCCTCCTGGGTGCGCCGCCTGTCCACCATCACCTCCTCCGTCTACGGCTCCAGCTCTGCCGCCAGCTCCTCGCGGCCCCAGTCGCCCTCCGTCAGCGGCTCGACCGCCCCCTTCTTCCCCCAGAAGCAGCATCTCCAGAACCGCGCCTCCATCCCGCCAAACAAGCTCGTCAAGCGCTCAACCTCCCAGCGCGACTTTCTTCCAGACTGCCCGCCCGGCTACGGCTACGGCTACGGCTACGGCTACGATCCTGCCTCCTCCGCCTCGAGGCCGCGCCGCTCAAACTCCATCATCCGCCGTCCGGCCACCAGCCACCAGCGCAGCGCCGCGGCGGCCATGAGGCACCGCTCTGCCACCGAGTCCAATGTCCTGGACGCCGGGCTGATACGGCCTCACTCTCACTCTTCCCCCCTGGCATCTCCTTCTCCTCCTCCTCCTCCTCCCCCCCAGTCCCAGCCACAGCCACAACCCCACGGGGAACCCGTCTGGCGCCCTTACTTTCGTGGAATTGCCTCCAATTTCTCCTCCATCCGCACTCGACGGCGGTCCTCCTCGGTCAGACAGAGACGGGAGCGCTCGCAGCAGCAGCTCCACCTCCTACTCGAGCCTGATGTTGTGCCCACGCTCGTCTCGGCCGCTGCCATCAAACCCCAGGATTCCGCCCAACTCCCGCGCTTTAGCTCTAGTTTTCGGCCGTCAGATCAGCAGCGACAGCAGCTACACCAGCGCCAACAATCTTCAGACCGGATTTCCTGGGGCAGACCCGTTCCCGGTGGAGCGCGGGCCCAAGTCATTCGTATGTTGAGCTCAAAGCCAGAGGAGGACTCGGAAACAGAGGCGGAAGCGGATGCTGATGCTGATGCTGATGCCACTCAATTACTGTCATCGTCGGCACCCCTACCCCCGTTTGCAGCAGACGACCCTATCCAGCCGTGGGAAGAGTCGATAGCTAAGCTGCAGCGGAGACAACGTGCCTCCCTCGACCTGAAGCGCAACCCTCATTCAGACAGTGAAATACGGACCAGCAAGAGTGAACGACTAAGCGGGAACTCCATGCGATCGCGGCGGAGGAAGAACATCACCGATCCTGACATATTCCAGCGGCCGGCCACTTCCCACTATCAACAACAACAGCAGCAGCAGCAGCAGCATCTACATCACGATCTTGATGATGACTTAAATAATAACGACGATGATAACATTCCCAACGACCAATCAGAAGACCCCCTGGAGCCCGTATCCCCCAAGACGACGGTCGCAAAGGTTAAGCCTCGTCTACGGCATTTGCCACAGTTCCACGACCTTCGCAATGAGGTCCTAAACGACAGACGGTCAGCGCCATCCTCGGCCTCTGGCTCCAGACAGTCATCTGCCGAACAGAAGATCTATGGCAGCGCACGAGACCGAGACCAACGGCTCTCCGTCACTGCCTCTGACCCAGCTTCAACTGTTCCCGGCTCAGATAATGATACCCGTATCTTCTCGTCCGGAGAGGAAGACGAGACTGACTGCCACAGCGACACCATCTTTGACTCCTACCCAACTCGCGCAACAAGTAGCAACAAGTCGACATCTACTCCTCGCGGGCCCAGGATAGATACCATCTTCGACAAACCAGACGTCACTCCAAAACAGCAGCAACAACAACAGTGCTATCCAGATGAACTACACTTGTCCTCCTCGGTCGTCTCGTCGGTTCGAAAGAGGTCGGACCTAGTCGTACTCAACCCACTTGGCCACGGCAACGGCAGCCTAAGACACGCCTCATCTTCAGAGGCTGCCGTCCGCAGAATGTCGCCATCTCCAAAGACCGTCATCACCGGCCCATCACAGCGAACTAGCCGGAAATCCAGCTACCTTACCACTCCCTCAGCTGACAGCGCAGAGAAACTGCGTTTCTTCGCTGAAACGTCGGGCGATGAGGAAGATGATGACGATGATTTCCCCACGGCACTTAACTCGCCTCCCCACTCTAGATCGGCCATCACGCTGTCAAAGGCATCGGAAGCGGGCTCGCGCATGAGCGTGTTTGACTGGTCAGAGCAGCAGAAGCCCACCAAGGACGGCGACAGCTCTGGTTATCGTCCAAAGACTGCCCAAGAAAAGAATCCTGTCGATCTACGAGGAGGACGGTCAACAGCGCGCTGCGCTCC